TTGAGATTGAACTTAGTCTTTCTGTAATCCTGATACAATGATGAATAACGAACATGAGGAGGTCTTCGTCGATAAATTCGTTACTAAATAAAACCTCCTGTTAGAGAAAGTTGTAAAAAAGAAATTTCTTTTCTATTAGGAGAGTAGAAAGCATAAGGCCTTTTTCAGTAAATTATTTCCTAAATACTTTCCCTGCGTTTCCCTGATCAGAAAGAAAAACCTTAGAAGTATTGCTTGGAAAATCTAGGAAACGTTTTCAAGGAATTTCTTTAGAATTCTTTAAAAGTCTTCTATCTCTAGAAACCTTTTTTCTTGAAAACCTTTTAAAAAATTCCAACAAAGAACCATTTAAAGATCTTTTTGGGAATTTGACGTAAAAGAAAACTTTCTAGGCAATTTCTTAGAAATTTTCCGTTTCTGGTCTTTAAATTAGACACGTTTAGTGCAAGAACGGTACCAGGAGTAGTTTTTCTTGCGTTTTGCTCGGATCGCACCGAAATTGCCGCTCTTCTTCAATACTGGTGCGAGTTAGGACGATAGCTCTGGGGGGATACTGTTTCCTCTGATAAGTTATCACGAAAACGCAACGCCGATAACATTTAGGAAAATTTAAACAAACTGGAAGTACAACATCACGTGCAACATGCAAGATTAGACGAGCAAAAAAAGTAGTACCTTCTACGACTCTCTTGGCTGGAGTTCATCTCGGCAAAACTGTAAACATTCGTGATAATAATAGTAATAATAAAAAAAATTAAAATAACAGGAAGTCACGATTTGCGGTTTGAAAATAGTAAGTGATAGGACACTGACCATAATTTAAAATTACGTGCGGGCCACGTCATAATTTGTTTATGTGGAAGCAGGAAGAATTTAAGCTCTTTAATTTTTGGGGTTCCCAAATTCGTGTGGGCGTGGGAATCGTTCCTTCGGGCTTAATTTTCAATTAACACGAAGCGCATTCTTTTGTTTTAAACGAATGCAGGCCATGCCAGGTGCCTCGCTCGTTTCGCCGTTTTACCTCGTCAAGTAAACACGGCGACCATATGTCACCTCGAAGCCCGAACCGGAATAAAAACAAAAAAAACAGGAGGGGGCCACGACAACACAAAGATTGGCAATTTTCTTAATATAAACAGAATTTATTGCATCAACAGAGAAAGGAGACCGTGGGATTTTTACCCTTAGCGATAACGTCGTAGGGGTGAGAATGTAATTCAGTCACAACGAGGAGTTCAACACACCCATAGTTTTACGCAATCGATAAAAGTAACGAAATTATCTTAAAACGTGTCAGAATGTCATCCTATCTACCTGAGATTAGGCGAATGCCCCCCCGATTCGAGATAAAAAAACGTTTAAAAATCGGCTGACTGCAAAAAGCCTCACCACCCCCCCGAAAACAACTAATTTTGCAAACCGCAAGAAACAAAAGCGCAAATTACTTATAAAATCAAGGTGCACTTGCCTCATCTTTCCGAAAAATCCCACTGGGCTTTACATCGATTTTTTTTCACTTTCTTATATTAAACATCGCACTCTCTCCCCGCGTACGCTTCGTAGCTGCTCTCGACCGTCGCCCTTCGACGATAATTCGCCTAATCTCTCGCCAAATTGCACTTAAATGTCACTTCGTTTATTACCAACACCTACAACTCGACACTACTGCCTTCGCCATGTTTACAAAGGTTAGACCAGCCCGAGATCTTGCGCCAATCGCGTAGCGAGTCGGGGCGCACGCGTTCGTTGGGAAAAAAATTCGAAAAACTTTTCGAGAAAAATCAAGTAGGCGCGCCGCTTTCGGACGGCAACTTTTATTGGCCTTGTTGATAATCGGCGGTCGAATGCCGGTCGGCCTTTGATAATTTCCGGCGAGCGGCGACGAATGTGCGATAATAATAAAATTGATAGGAATGTTGTTGCATTTTGTCACTAATTCGTTTAAACGAATACTGCGCGTGGTCTTAGGCTTAGGGGAAAGTTTATTCAAAATTGAATAGTTCAGGACCGGATTGTGGTATGGGTCGACGTAAATCTCAATTGCGTACCCAGTTTCCATTCCTCCAGTTGTATTTCCCTGCCACATGTTCTATTTTTCTTTTTTCCTCTATTTATCACCTTCCACCTTCTCTGTCTTTAGTTCCCTGTTTACCTCTTCGTATTCATTGTGTTTCTTCATCTTTTTTTTGTGTTTTTTTCTGTTCTCTTACCCCTTTCTTCTCTATTTCTCCTCTTTCTTTCTTTGTCCATCATTTCTCTATATCTGTTTCTTTCTTCTGTATACTCTATGACTCACCATTTCTTTCTTTTTCTTCGACGTTATTTCTTTTTTAATAATCCATGACGCTGCTCCTCTTTGTCGACAACTCCACAGTCTCTCGTATTCATAACCGTCTCCCTTTTTTGCACCTTTCCCTTTCTTGACCTTCTCATCATTTAAGCTCATTTCGTTCATTCCTTCACTGTTTTATATAGTTTATACTCTCATTTTCTTCCCCACCACTTACAGTTTTCTTTCCCGTATTCGTTCCTCCTCTTTCATTTCCTCCATTTATCTTTTTTCATATCCTCTTACGACTCCCACAGTTGAGCATCTTTACTTGCTCCCCCCGCCACATTCCAGAACATCAACTTCACTTCTCCTTTTGTTCGTTTCGGACTAGCTCCTCTCTTTTGCTATTAATTTTTCCGTCCAAACCCCTCCCCCTCCTCTTCCGTTCCTACTAGCTCTTCTTCTTTGTTACTCCATCTCTATTCTTCGTCTTCTATCATTAATTTCCTATATCCCAATCTTACTTTTTTGATCTCATGATCATCTATGTTTGTCCTTTCACTTTCCCTTGCCCCTCATAATTTTTTACTCTTCTTTCCCCATGTTTTCCCCCACTTCAATTGTTTCTTCGTGCTTTCTCTCCCTTTTCCTTTTTTCATCTTTACTCCTTTTAACTTGTTCCTGCTATTTTGCTATCCTTTGCACCAATTCTTCTATTTCCTTACCCCATTATACTCTTTATTTCCTCTCTTCATCCGATTTCTTCCCAGATCGTTTCCTTCACTTGATCTACTTGATTTTTTTCTTATTTCCCCCTTTGCTCCTATGTTTTCCGTTCTCTCACCGCACTCACCCCACCCCCCTATCTATTTCATTGCCGCTCGCTCTCTCTCCGTTTTCGCTTCTTTCTTTTCAACCTCTGAATCCTGACTTGCCCGCTTCGGCAGCTCGGAGACAGTGGACCCTCCCGCCCTGGTCACTAGTTAGCACGCAATAAAGGAAATTACATAAAAATGGTTAAAGCATAACCAAAATACTCTTTGGCATAACCTACCCCCGCTCACGTGTAAGTACTGTTGCCAAATATCCGTCTATGTTTCCACGTTATTGCTTTGTTAATACTCTTCTTCACAATATTCCACTCCTCCTGAGTACTCCTCCTTTTTTTGTACCCCACAGTGTCTCTTATCCATAACTGTATCTCCCTTCTTCTTTGCCTCTTCCACATTTCCAAATTCTTCTATTTCTTCCAGAATTTGTTCATTTAGTAAATCAACTACCGATCTCCCTCTTCCACCCATGTATGTGAAGTGCCCTCCATATTTTCGTTTCGAATTCTCCATCCCCTTTCTTTATTGCCCTCTCTCTTCACTTTCTATTGTGTGCTTTTCTTCTCTTCTGTACAAGCCCTTCTCCTTTATTCCCTGTTCAGAAATTTAATCTCCCCCCCCCCCCCGCCGCCCCATTACTAACCCACAATGAGCAACTTTACTTGACCCCCCCCCCCCCCCCTTATAAGGAAGACCTAAAGAAGGCGGGTGAAGAAAGATTGAGGCTTTGGGAGATGTGAAAAAGGCGTAAAGGAGACTTAGAGGAAGGATGGCGTGAAGAAAGTGTAATGGATACGCGAAGAAAACGTACGGGAAAAATAAATAGAGGGAGGCGTGGCGCGGAAACAAAGATGATGTAAAAAAAAGAAGTGTGAGAAGCAATTTAAAGAGAGTGAAGACTCTTACGGATTTGAAGAATACGAAGAAACTGAAGAATTTGAAGACCAGATGGGTCTGAATTCGAAGCTACTTGGCAGTTCGAAGAGTTTCTAAAAGTTTGGCAGATTCGAAGACTATGAAAACATAGGAAGCAACGAAAGAATTCGAAAAGGTTGAAGAAAAGTCAAAGAATCCATCAAAAGAATCTAAAACTTTGAAGAATTGAAATAATATGGAAGTATTGAATGAGTTCGAGAGGTTCCACCCTGTATCTACAACTTACGACGATGCAAACATTTTTGAGAGTTGGCAACCATGAAATTTCTAGGTGGAGAAAAGCTGCCTGCGCCATCTAGAAAGTACGAACGGGAGTTACGTTGGGCATCTTGTCTTGAATGGCGGTCGTGAACGCGTTGCTCCATAAATGTTTGTTGTTATTTAATGCTGGTAGTAATTTTTGCGTTTCTTTATATCGTATTTGTGTTTCGTATGCCGCATTTTATATTTTTTGTGTGTTTGAATCTTTGTTTTTGAAATTTACTTGATTTAACCGCAATGTAGAATTACATGTTTAATACAGTTATCCTATTGTTTGTAATCGTTTCCGTTTTTGGTGTAAGTTTGATTAATTTATCTTATTGACATTTGACATTCAACTGTAGGCTCGAAACCCCGAAACCAGGGGCGGGTTACCTATCTTGCAGGAGATGTTAAAAAGAAAGCGTATAGCTGACATGAAGAAGACCGTCAGAAGAAGATTGACGGATGTGTGTAGGAGGTTTTGTGAAGTTGGAGGTTGGAGGGAATAAAAGAAACCTAAATATTAATGCGTAAAGGAGGGGTAGGGAATCTCAAGAAAGCATGAGGGACACGGAGGTGGTGAAAGATACTGCTAGCTCTTCATGAATGATTGAGGCACCCTTAAACACAGAACATTACGTGACGCCACTGAAAGTCTTAGAGAATCATGAATGTTGGTCATCCTGAAATGTGATACTCGCGTTTTCAAATTCTTCAAGCAACACAAAAAGTAATTGTGGAATTGTGCGAAAATGTCATCTGTCACAATTTGTGGATTTGTTAAAATTGAGCCAAAACGAGAGGAAAATGAAGAAACTGCAACCCCTAACGAGGAGGTTCCGACAACTTTCAAGGCTGAGGATAGTGAGACTGCAACTGGCATCAAAAGTGATCGCGAAATTAAAAGTGAACCGCAGGAAGACGAGTGCACCTCATATTTCATTAATCCGCCTCTTCTGTTGTATGATGAATGTATGGAAGACAAAAGTAATGTCCTTAACGTACGAGTAAGTGAGTTTTCTTCAGACCATGATACTTCGAGACAATTATTTAGATGCACATCACTAAGTTGTGACACTGATTTCCATTGTTTCCAATGTGACTACGTGTCAAGTATCAAAAAGAATCTCAGAAAGCACATCTTAGGGCACAGAAATTTAAAATGTGACCATTGCAATTATGTAACGAACGATAAGGGTAATTTGAGACAGCACATTAGGAGACACAATGGTAAAAAGGAGTACAGATGTTCCTTTTGCAGTTATGCCACAAATGCCAAACACTCCTACAGTAGACACTTCTTAAAACATAATGTTCTGAAAGCAGTAAAGTGTGACCAGTGCTCTTATGCCACACATTCAAAGGGCCACTTAAAGCAACACTTACTAATTCACTGCAACGAGAAGAAATTTAAATGTGACCAGTGCACTTTCGAAACTCACGTTAAAAAGTACCTGAAACGACACACCCTCAATCACAAACCAACCACAGACTTTAAATGCTCGTACTGTCCCTACACCACAAATTTTAAAAGAAATCTCAAAAAGCACATTTTAAGGCACATAACTCCCAGAAATTTAAAATGTGACCATTGCAATTATGTAACAAATGACAAAGATAATTTAAAACATCACATCAGGACACACAATGACAAAAAAGATTACAATTGCTCCATTTGCAGTTACGCCACAAACGCCAGAAACTCCTACACTCGACATCTCCAAAAACACACCGCCGTCAAAGACATAAAATGTGACCAGTGCGCTTACGCCACACATTCGAAGGGCAACCTGAACCAACACCTACGAACTCACCAAAACGAGAAGAAATTTAAATGTGGCCAGTGCACGTTCGAAACTCACGTCGAGACCTACCTGAAACGACACGCCCTGAATCACAAACCGACCACGGACTTTAAATGCTCGTACTGTCCGTACGCCACAAACGTAAAGGTCAACTTCAACAAGCACCTCTCGAAGCATACAAGGGAGAGCTTAAGGTGCGAGCAGTGCGACTACGTGACGAGAGATCGCGAAAATCTGAGGCGACATTTGCTGAAACATGTCGAGTTGAAGGACTTCAAGTGCAAGTTTGAACGTACAACTCGAAGTACTTGACTTGACAAAAACTCGAGTGAGTGACCAGTAATTAAAGGACGTTAAAACTACATCAATAAATTAAGTGCTTCATTTGTGAATTTTATATGCATAGAATGGTGTATAGGTATATGTTTTTATATTAAACGCAATTTTAAAGTGTTTACTCCGGTAAAATTAACCCATAGCATTCCAGCAATCAATTTTGCATATTTCTTGTGAAAATAATAAATATGCAAAATATGCATGTGGTATAGTCTTGTCTCTAAAATCTGTGCGCGAGAAGTAGAACAGTCTCTTAAGGAATCGCCCCGCGGTAAAGGACGAAATGTGTCCAGAAAATAAGAATGTACGTCCACGATGCGCACTTTGCAAAACTTCCTGCTTAAATTTGAAAAGTGGCACGTGATAAAACAATTAATTCAGGGTCCCCTTACGCTAGTTGTAAATAACGCTATGACCTGAAGCACAGTAGGGAAGGAACGTAAAATAAAACACTCGAATTATGAAAAGTTTGTTTATTAATAATCGTAATTATTATGATTGTAAATGCTCGGAAATTTAAGTCGAAATAAATTACATTGCAAAAATAAACTTTGAAAATGGTAGTTCACCGAATAAAAATAGAAATAGGCTGGGAAAAAAGGAACTTACCAATAAAAAAACCAGCCGTCAAATTAATATCAAATTGTGTTGTAAAATTAATTGTTTGTAATGATGTGAATGCGTAACATATAATTATAACATCACTAAAAGTAGCATGTAGACTTCAAGAGGTAACATTTAGGTTAAAAACAAGTTTTGGGGACTGTGGGTCAGGTAAGCAGGTACCAAGATTCTAAGAAAGAGTGAAATACACAGGATGTGACTCATGTTTGGTTCAATAAAGTCCTTTTGTTAAAAACAAGAAGGAAAATTACATGACCTTGTAGGCAAATTTAACTAAAAACAAGATATGTGGCTCATTCATCGCACATAGATTCTAAACTGAAGAGCTTTGATTAGCGTAATCCTGCTCCTGCAAGATAGGTAACCCGCCCTTGGTTTCGAGCCTACAGTTGAATGTCGAAGACAGTCACGGAATTAAGTGTTGCACTTTAAATGTTTACAGTTTTTACCACAACCGTGACTGTTTCATTCACGGAGAAAAATGTAAGTAACAAACAACAAGTCAGTACATACATCAAACGAATCGGTAATTTCCACATATTAAAATAAAGTGATCAAAACTTATATGAATGCTATTTCAGGGACAAGACCAAGTAATCAACATCAATAAACATAAATTAAGCAAACATTACACCAAAAACGTAAACGATTACAAACAATAGGATAATGGTATTAAACATGTCATTCTGCATTGTGGTTAAACCAAGTAAATTTCAAAAACAAAGATTGAAACACAAAAAATATAAAATGCGGCATACAAAACACAAATACGATATAAAAAAATGCAAAAATTACTACCTGCATTAAATAACAACAAACATTTATGGAGCGACGCGTTCACGACCCCCATTCAAGACAAGATGCCCAAACGCAACCCCGTCCATGCTTTCTAGATGGCGCAGACAGCTTTTCCCCACCTAGAAATTGCATGGTTGCCAACTCCCAAAAATGTATGTATCGTCGTAAGTTGTATATACAAGGTGGAACCTGTCAACCAGAAAACTATTTTTGGCTGCGACTTCCTAGAAGACGCCGGAGTCGCGCTACACGCAACCCAGAAGTACTGCTATTTTTATGATGATCCGAATGTCACCTTTCAGTACTTCGACGAAGAAGGGGACAAGGACACTGAGGTATCTGAAGTGAGTTTGCAGTAATGAGAGTGCCAAAATCTGGAATTCAGTCGACGAAGAGGCCTCTTTCGAGAAGAAGGCGAACCGACCCCACTACACCCTATAGAACTTTTCGATTTTCGAGGATGCCTTTCGTGCTGCAGAATACCCCGGCGACGTTTGTTCAAAGGGCTGCAACTTTTGATCTAGTAGTCCAATCTTGGAACTGTTTGAAATTATGGATTCTACAGGCCAAACTCTATAAGAAAATGTTTTTTCCCGGTCGATCTCAGACAATTTTTTTTTCGGGGCTCAAAAAAAGGCAGTGTATAACCTTCCTTTTTTACCAAAAATCGACTACACCAAAATTTCTCGGGAAAACACTTTTCTTATTAATTTGGGTGCGTAGAATCCAAATCAATTTGTACTTTTTCGATTAGACTTCTCAATCAAAAGTTATAGACTAGAAACCAATTTCAAAAAAAAATTCAAAGGGCTGTAACTTTTGAACTAGTAGCCCAATCTTGGAACCGTTTGAAATTATGGATTCTACAGGCCACCATTGACTAAAAAGCAATGACTGATGGCAATACGTCCAGTGGATGAACGTGCGCCACTGATCAAGAAATACGAGTCACTTGACACTTCATTTTTTGCACACACAGTTCGTACCTCGTGGCACAACTCATTCTTTCTGCTGTACGTAACTTGAAATCATCACCACAGGAGCCCTAAAAGTAAAAGTGATTGTGGAATAATCAAAATGTCAATTGTCACAATCTGTGGATTTGTTAAAGATGAGCCAAGAGAAGAAGAAGAAGAAATAAGTGCAACCCTTAACGAAGAGGTTTTAATAAACCATGACGTATCGATAAGAGTCAAGATTGAGGATAATGAAACTGCAACTTCCAGACAGTTATTTAAATGTGCAACACTAAGTTGTGCCACTGATTTCCTGTGTTTTCAATGTGAATACGTGACAAGTATCAAAAGCAATCTCAGAAAGCACATCATCTTAAGGCACATAACTCCAAGAAAGCTAAAATGTGACCATTGCAAGTATGTGACAAACAATAAGAAAAATTACACGTGTTCCATGCGCAATCACTTCACAAATGCCAAACACCCCTTAAAACACAATGCTCTGAAAGACTTAAAATGTGTCCAGGGCGCTTATGCCACACATTCAAAGGGCCACTTAAAGCAACACTCACTAACTCACCGAAACGAGAAGAAATTTAAATGTGATCAGTGCACATTCGAAACTCACCTAAAAATGTATCTGAAAAAACACACCCTCAATCACAATTTAACTACAGACTACAAATGTGCTTATTGTGCCTATGCCACAAAGATAAAAAAAAATCTTATAAAGCACATCAAAAGGCACATAACACCGAGAAGCTTAAAATGTGACCATTGCAATTACGTAACGAACGATAAGGACAATTTAAGACACCATGTTAGGACGCACAACGATAAAAAAGATTACACATGCTCCATTTGCCATTATGCCACAAACGCCAGACACTCCTACATTCGACATCTCCTAAAGCACAACGCTCCGAAAGACTTAAAATGTGTCCAGTGCGCTTATGTCACGCATTCGAAGGACGTCTTAAACCAACACTTAAGAACTCATCAAAATGAGAAAAAATTTAAATGTGACCAGTGCGCGTTCAAAACTCACGTTGAAATATACCTGAAACGGCACGCCCTCAATCACAAATCGACCACGGACTTTAAATGCTCGTACTGTCCCTATGCCACAAACGTGAAAAAGAACTTCAAGAAGCACCTCTTGAAACATACAGGGGAGAGCTTACTGTGCGAGCACTGCGACTACACGACGACCATTCGCGAAAACCTGAAGACACACTTGCTGAAGCACAGAACGTTGAAGAATTTCGAGTGCGCGTATTGCAAGTTTCGAACCTATGCCTCGAAGTACCTGAGGCGGCATCTCTCAACGCACAGGAACTCGAGGGAGTTTCAGTGTTTCGTCGCAATTACGAGACTTTTTTAAGTCACCGAATGTCTGCTTCATTTGTGAACAGTATAAAGAATTAATAATACGCATGGAATGTTCTAGCTATCTATTTTGTCTAAGTTTTGATATTTGATTTGCATATTAAACAATTTAAAAATGTTTTGTTTTTAGAAAGATCGCCCTTGTTTCTTATCCCTTATGATGAATCGTATACATAGATTCCAAACCGAAGAGTTTTTATTGGCAGAATCTCGCCCCCAAGACAGATAACTCGCCCCTTGTTCCGCGTTTCGAACCTACAGTTAATTGTCGAGATCAGTACCGGTATTTGAGTGTCGTAACTCTGGTTACAGTTTTTGTCAGTCCCCTGACCGTTTCTTCAAGGCGAAAATGTTAGTTTACAAACAATTCTTTAAAAGATTGAACAAAATATGCATCCAAGTTGGGGCCAAGAAAGACCATGTAATCGAAACATGAACAAACATTACACCAAAAATGAACGTGATTTCAAACAAAAGATTAACGGTATCAAACACATGAATTAACATTAAATTGTCAACTTCAAAATCAAAGATTGCAACTTAAAAAAAATATACAGCTACATAAAAATTGCATGGTTGCAAGCTCTCAAAAATATGTGCATCGTCGTAGAGTGGAACCTCTCAGTAGTTGCGATTGACTAATATACTTAGATGATAAAGTTATCACGCGAACTATTTCAACCAATCACAAGGTCTCTAAACCCAGAATCATAAAAGCACCGTTAGAGGCATAGCGACACAGGTACTCTGCATGTTTACAGGTTACGGCGAAGGTTTTTCAATTTTATCACTACTACCGCACATCGTTTTAGTTTTTCTATCTTACTATTAAATCCGTTTTTTTTTTCGCGCAACTGTCTTATCTATGACACTGTGTGTGAAATAGTAGTATAAGGAGGTTTGAAGCAAATATGGTGGTGTGAAAATGGGGGATTGAGATTGAGGGGGGGGGGGGTTAGAGAAGTTTGCGAAATTTTAGAATGGCGGACCCAATATGGCGTCGTATTATGCGAGAAATTTGAATTTTTAAAGAAACCATTTGCAAATTCGTAGCCAGAAAGGTTTCAGAGCCGCCGATTACAAATCCGCTGTCAGAATGACGAAATACAAAATGGCGGACCCAATATGGCGTCGTATTGTGCGAGAAATTTGAAATGTTAAAGAAATCATTTGCAAATTTCGTAGCCAGAGAGAATTCAGAGTCGCCGATTACAAATCCGCTGTCAGAATTACGAAATGCAAAATGGCGGACCCAATATGGCGTCGTATTGTGCGAGAAATTTGAATTTTTAAAGAAATCATTTGCAAATTTCGTAGCCAGAGAGATTTCAGGGTCGTCGATTACAAATCCGCTGTCAAAATTACGAAATTCAATATGGCGTCGTATTGTGCGAGAAATTTGAATTTTTAAAGAAATCATTTGCAAATTTCGTAGCCAGAGAGATTTCAGGGTCGTCGATTACAAATCCGCTGTCAAAATTACGAAATTCAAAATGGCGGACCCAATATGGCGTCGTATTGTGCGAGAAATTTGAATTTTTAAAGAAATCATTTGCAAATTTCGTAGCCAGAGAGATTTCAGAGTCGCCGATTACAAATCCGCTGTCAGAATTACGAAATTCAAAATGGCGGACCCAATATGGCGTCCAATTATGCGAAAAATTTGAAGTTTTATAGAAATCATTTGCAATTTTGTACTTGAGGGATTTTTTCGGAGTCGCTAATTACAAATCAGCTGTCAGAATTACAAAATTTAAAATGGCGTCGTATTATGCGAGAAATTTGAATTTTTTAAGAAATCATTTGCAACTTTCGTAGCCAGAGAGATTTCAGAGTCGCCGATTACAAATCCGCTCTCAGAACTACGAAATTCAAAATGGCGGACCCAATATGGCGTCGTATTGTGCCAGAAATTTGAATTTTTAAAGAAATCATTTGTAAATTTCGTAGCCAGAGAGATTTCAGAGTCACTGATTACAAACCCGCTGTCAGCATCACAAAATTCAAAATGGCGTCGTATTATGCGAAAAATTTGGATTTTTAAACAAAATGATTTGCAATTTTGTGGTAGGGAATTTTTAGCGCCGCTGATTACGAATCCGATCTCAGATTTACGAAATTCAAAATGGCGTCGTATTAAGCGAGATATTAAATTTTGTAAGAAATCATTTGCAATTTTATACTAGGTTTTCGAAGTCGCTGATTTATGTATCCGATGTCAGAATTACGAAATTCAAAATGGCGGGCACAATATGGCGGCGTATTATGCGAAACCGTTGAATTTTTAAAGAAATGATTCGCAATTTCTTATTAGAGATTTTCGGGGTCGCTGATTAAGGATGTGAGATTTACGAAATTCAAAATGGCGTGCAACTTTGTACTATAGAACAGGGAGTTTTCCAGGACCGAGCTGCAAAAATCAAAATGGCGGATGTGCTCTTAAGTTACGCCACTGATTAATGCCATATAAGCGTGTTAGTCATCATCCTAAAATGTGACACTTGCGTTTCCAATTTTAAGTTTTTTGCAGAGCCTTTTCATTCTTTCTAGTGTACGTAACTCGAGAGCAACGCCGTAAAAGTAAAATGTGGAATAGTGAAATTGTGAATTAACTGTCATAATGAGTGGATTTATTAAAGATGAGCCAAAACAAGAAGAAGAAGAAAGTGCAACCCTTAACAACGACGATTTAATAAACCATGAAGTTGTAACAACAGTCAAGTTTGAGAATAATGGGGCTGTAACTCGCGTTAAGAGTGATTGCAAAGTTAAAAGTGAACTGCAGCAGGAAGACGAGTTCACCTCATATTTCATTAATCAGCCTCTTCTGTTGTACGATGAATGTATGGAAGACAAAAGTAACGTCCTTAACGTACGAGTAAGTGAGTTTCCTGCAGACCATGATACTGATTTCCATTGTTTCCAATGTGACTATGTGTCAAGTATCAAAAGCAATCTCAGAAAGCACATCTTAAGGCACAGAACTCTGAGAAACTTAAAATGTGACCATTGCGATTATGTAACGAATGATAAGGATAATTTGAGACAGCATGTCAGGAGACACAATGATAAAAAGGAGTACAGATGTTCCCTTTGCAGTTATGCCACAAATGCCAAACACTCGTACAATCGACATCTCTTAAAACATAACGCTCTGAAAGACATTAAATGTGACCAGTGCGATTATTGCACACATACAAAGGACAACTTAAAGCAACACTTACTAATTCACTACAACGAGAAGAAATTTAAATGCGACCAGTGCACTTTCGAAACTCACATTAAAAAGTACCTGAAACGACACGCCCTCAATCACAAACCAACCACAGACTTTAATTGCTCCTACTGCCCCTACGCCACAAACGTCAAAAGAAATCTCATAAAGCACATCTTAAGGCACATAACGCCGAGAAATTTAAAATGTGACCATTGCAATTATGTAACGAACGATAAGGACAACTTGAGACACCACGTTAGGACGCACAACGATAAAAAAGATTACACGTGTTCCATATGCGGTTACGCCACAAATGCCAAAAACTCCTACACTCGACATCTCTTAAAACACAGCGCTCTGAAAAACATCAAATGTGACCAGTGCGCCTATGCTACACATTCCATGGCAAACTTAAACCAACACCTACGAACGCACCAAAACGAGAAGAAATTTAAATGTGACCACTGCGCTTTCGAAACTCACGTTGAAATGTACCTGAAACGACACGCTCTCAATCACAAATCGACCACGGACTTTAAATGCTCGTACTGTCCATATGCCACAAACGTAAAAAAAAACTTCAACAAGCACTTCTCGAACCACAGAAAGGAGAGCTCTGTGACTGCACGACGAGCTTCTGCAAAAACCTGAAGGCACACTTGCTGAAACACACCGCATTGAAGTGCTTCAATTGCTAAAGGACGTTTATAACAACATTTTTTAAGTCACCGAATAAACCAATAAATTAAGTGCTTCATTTGTGTTATTTCAATTTTGATATGCATATTAAACCAATAATAAAGGCAATAAAAAAATTACGAATCGTAACTCATTTATCGCACATAGATTCTAAACTGAAGAGCTTTGATTGGCGTAATACCGCTCCTGCAAGATAGGTAACCCGCCCCTGGTGTCGGGATTTCGAGCCTACAGTTGATTGTCGAAGACAATCACGGAATTAGGTGTCGTAACTCAATTTTGACTACATTTCTTACCACCCCCGTGACTGCTTCATTCACGGAGAAAATTGTTAGTAACAAACAACAAGTCAGTACATACATCAAACGAATCGGTAATTTCCACATATTAAAATAAAATGATCAAAACTTACATGAATGTTACTTCAGGGACAAGCACAAGTAATCAACATCAATAAACATAAATTAAGCAAGCATTACACCAAAAACGTAAACAATTACAAACAATAGCATAACGGTATCACATATGTGATTATCCATTGCGGTTAAACCAAGTAAATTTCAAAAAACAAAGATTCAAACACAACAAAAAATAAAATGTGGCATACAAAACACAAATACGATATAAAGAAATGCAAATATTACAACCTGCATTTAAAAAAACACAAAATAACAACAACCATTTATGGAGCGACGCATTCACGATCGCCATTCAAGACAAGTGCCACACGTAACCCCCGTTCGTGTTTTCTAGATGGGGCGGGCCTCAGAGTAAGAAATAAAGATAGAGTACGCCTACGCTATAACAACGTGAACGTTTGTTTTGAACCAACATCTCACCGTTGAGAGGACGAAAATAAACATTAGTCAGTGGCGTAGGGTTTATTTATCTTTATGGGCAACAAAGTTTATGTTTTGTTTAAATGTGCAAACGTAATAACGTATCACTAAATATTTATGATCAAAAGCCGTATGTGTTTGAAAGGTCCCTATTGATCTATGATACCACTACGGTAACTATATACTATAAATCGTATAATTTTCGTTAACGTAAGATTTAACGGTTCCGTTCTTACGTTCTTACGGCTACGGAACTATAAATCCGGCTTAAGACAAGGTATGCCTATAACTAAACGCAGATGACGTTTTTATCTCAATGACGTCACAAGAATCACCGCCAAGTTTGAAAATGACATACACTTCATACTTGAATTAGAAGTGCCATTACAATTACTCGATTAATTTGGTTGAGTAATCATACTGAATGCATTTAGATATAAATATAAGGCAACAGAGAAGCTAAACGTACCACTTAATATACTTATTTCAGAAATTGAATTAGCCTTTTAAGTTTTTTTAATTACCGCTAGAGGTCTCGTCCTTTTGAAAACGCTAATGTAATTTTTACTTACATGTTTTATTGTAACCTAATTAATACTTTGTAAGTTTAATGTGAGAAACTTGACGCAGTTGACATGGATTGAACAAAACTTATCACATCCGTAATGGGGATACACTTTTATTAACTGGTAGGACTATACAAACCTCATTACTTTATTGAACGGTAGAGCCAAGTTATCCAAATGACGTCACGTATAGGCATACCAGTCTTAATTGTACCATGGAAGGGAGGATGGGGCTGTCACAAGACACGTGGTCTTGGTTACGCCACTGAGTGCCTTATAGTGAATGTCGGTCAGCCTGAAGTGATACTCGCGTTTTCAATTTTAATTTTTTTTTTGGGGCTTTTACACTTTCTCCTTTACACCTAACTTAAAGGAGCAACACGGGAGATTGCCCTAAACGTAAATGTGGAATAGTGAAAATGTCAACTGTCACAATCAGTGGATTTGTTGAAGTTGAGCCAAAACGAGAGGAAGAAGAAGAAAGTGCAACCGTTAACGGCGACGTTTTAATAAAGCACGAGGTTGCGACTGAGGATAATGGGAGTGCGAGTGGCATCAAGAGTGAGCTCAAAGTTAAAAGGGAAACACAGCAGCAGGAAGGCGAAGTCGCCTCGTATTTTATTAAGCCTCTTTTGTTGTATGATGAATGTATGGAAGACAAAAGTAATGTTCTTAACGTAGGGGTAAATGAGTCTCTGCACACTGATTTCCGGTGTTTTCAATGTGATTATACATCAAGTATGAAAAAAAATCTCAGGAAGCACATCTTAAGGCACATAACGCCGAGAAATTTAAAATGTGACCATTGCAATTATTTAACGAACGACAAGGACAATTTGAGACAGCACGTCAGGACGCACAACGCTAAAAAAGAATACACATGTTCCATTTGTAGTTACGCCACAAATGCCAAGCACTCCTACAGTCGACACCTCTTAAAACACAACGCTCTGAAAGACTTAAAATGTGACCGGTGCGCTTACGCCACGCATTCAAAGGGCAACTTAAAGCAACACCTACTAACTCACCGAAATGAGAAGAGATTTAAATGTGACCAGTGCACTTTCGAAACTCACGTCGAAATGTACCTGAAACGACACGCCCTCAATCACAAACTAACCACTGACTTTAAGTGCTCGTACTGTCCCTACGCCACAAATGTAAAAAAAAACTTCAAGAAGCACTTCTCGAAGCACACAAGAGAAAACTTAAAATGTGAACACTGCGACTACACTACGAGCGTTCGCGAGAATCTGAAGCAACACCTGCTGACTCACAGGGCGCTGAAGGACTTCGAGTGCGTGCACTGCGAGTTTCGAACGAACACCTTGAAGTACTTAAAGCAGCATCTCGCGACGCACAAGAACTCGAAGGAGTTTAAGTGTTTCGGTTGCGAGTACAAGACTAGTGTAAAGGGACGTTTAAAGCGGCATCTTTTAAGTCACCGAATTTCCGCTGTGAATGGGGTAGTTCCCATAAATTAAGTGCTTGAAATTTATAGCTATCTATTTTATTTAAATTTTGATATGTATATTAAAATAAATTTTACATATTAGAGCAAAAAATATGCATGTGATATATAGTCCTGCCGCTATAATCAGTGATACATTATATTGCAATTTTAAAGCAATGTCCCTGTCCCTGGTAGGGCTCTAATCCTACATTTTTCTCAGCTGTGCTATTTTAACTCCTTTCATTACAAAAGAAAGACCACCCCCAATCCCTATCCCCTATGGGGTGTATGAACTTTTTTTGTAGATACTGTAACAGAAAAAAAACTGTACGAGTTTGTTTATTTGAGCAGTTAAATATTGTAAGGTAAATTTAATTACGTGGTTTATTTATTTACAATTAATTAACAATGTTTTCCCGAGACATTTTGGTGTAGTCAATTTTTGGTAAAAATGGAAGGTAATACACTGCCTTTTTTTGAGCCCCCGAAAAAAAAATTGTCTCAGATCGACCCGGAAAAAAATTTTCTTATAGAATGTGGCCTGTAGAATCCATAATTTCAAACAGTTCCAAGATTGGGCTACCAGTTCAAAAGTTACAGCCCTTTGAATTTTTTTTCGAAATTGGTTTCTAGTCTATAACTTTTGATTGAGAAGTCTGATCGAAAAAGTACGAATTGATTTGGATTCTACGCACCCAAATTAATAAGAAAAAGTGTTTTCCCGAGAAATTTTGGTGTAGTCGATTTTTGGTAAAAAAGGAAGGTTATACACTGCCTTTTTTTGAGCCCCGAAAAAAAAATTGTCTCAGATCGACCCGGAAAAAAAATTTTCTTATAGAATGTGGCCTGTAGAATCCATAATTTCAAACAGTTCCAAGATTGGGCTACTAGTTCAAAAGTTACAGCCCTTTGAATTTTTTTTCGAAATTGGTTTCTAGTCTATAACTTTTGATTAAGAAGTCTGATTGAAAAAGTACGAATTGATTTGGATTCTACGCACCCAAATTAATAAGAAAAAGTGTTTTCCCGAGAAATTTTGGTGTAGTCGATTTTTGGTAAAAAAGGAAGGTTATACACTGCCTTTTTTGAGCCCCGAAAAAAAAATTGTCTCAGATCGACCCGGAAAAAAAATTTTCTTATAGAATGTGGCCTGTAGAATCCATAATTTCAAACAGTTCGAAGATTGGGCTACTAGTTCAAAAGTTACAGCCCTTTGAATTTTTTTTCGAAATTGGTTTCTAGTCTATAACTTTTGATTAAGAAGTCTGATCGAAAAAGTACGAACGTCAGGGTTTTAAGTGTTAGATTATTAACGGAGATAAAGGGCTAACGTTCCGTAAAGTAAGGTTTATTATTATTACTGAGCTAGCCTTGGTATTAATTATTTCATTGGAAAATATTAATTATTACACCATAATCGGTATCAGTGCAGTAGAAATTAAATTTCAGGCCCAGGCCTGTTATTTCAATAAATAAATTTTAGGAGCGCAGGGTGTTCAAGTGAAACATATAAAACCTGTGAATGTTTCCAGGCTATGGGCGTTTGTAAATATCAGTTGCTTACATAACTTTTAAAGTACTTAAAATACTGTCTTACTTAAAACTCAATAAATGTCATTATTATTATTAAACACAATATGTAAAAATGAAAATGGAAGTTTTATATCAAATCATCGTCTTACTCTCCGCCTACTACGAGTATTTCGTGGGTTCAATCAAAACAGTATAGGCATCGATCATTTTAAAAATGTAAAATTTAATTTCAATAATCAACAACTTATCTCGTCTACCTACACAACCATATACACGTATAATTAAAAATTAAAAGCCTTCTCAGTGTTTTACACTCTCATTTTGCTTAAAAATGCTGCACTCGGCCACAAAATCGCTGCAAATAAACAGATAAGACGGTTCTAACAAGACAACCCTAAAACAACATACCTAATCTCACCATTCTTATATGTGCTGTCACCGTCATAGTAACCGCCCGAACTCCAATAGACATCTTTCACACTTACAGATCCCTGCGATACCGCATCACGATCGGCCGCCGCCTCAGACACCTTATCTATAAGTTTAGACCAACCCTTATCGTACCCCGCATTTAAAACGAGTATCGGACAATCGACATTCCGAATGTAGCTGCTCGTATTGAAACTTAGCCCGTTCTCGATCAGAGGCTCGGTCACGAACGCGTCGTACCACGGCATCCACGAAAAAATCCTTCCCAACGGCCAGTACCAGTAGCCGATCCAGTCGGAGAGCGACGTGAACGGATTTTCCAAAATTAAACCGGTGGGAACGACGCCTTCGTTTCGCAACCGCGCGACGGCGTGCGTCGCGATTGCGGCGCCGAGTTGATCGCCCCAAACGTAGACGTCTCCCTTGGTCCTGTTAAGCACCCACCTGTAGATGTGGACGGCGTCGTCGACAAGTCCGTCTTCGACTAAATCGAACATCGACGAATCTCCGTAGCCTGTCACAAAAGTCTAATATGAAACAAATAGGAGTAGTGACAACACTGGCGATATGTCATATACAGAGTGTCTCCTTTTCTGGCTCTGAAAAGAGTCTAGTGGGTAATTCGATTAGATGTCAAAAAAATTTGAGTCAGTAACCGCCATCTTTGAATTTTGTTTTGACATCTTTTAGTTTCATTTGTTAACTTTAAAGATGCCTATTTAATTTAGTGGGGATTACTCGTGCAATCTCACTCGATTTCGGACACCCTGTATACTTAATAAAAGTTGCGCCAATGTGTCAAATAATAAAACAATCGTCATACTTCTGTAGTCGAAAGCAAT